CTACTCCTCAACTTGTCTGATGATCAGGAGTCCCAGCAAGAGGTTACTTGGGGAAGTTGGATGATGTTATCGACCAAATTGGGGTTTGGGGATTATCTCTGGATTTCATTTATCTGTGTTTTCCCTGGTCTCTCTTGTTGTAGGTAATTAAGAGCTGATTGCTGGTAATTAAGAGTTGTTGAGAAAGGCAGCAGGATCCAAAAAGGAGAGTGGCACGTTTTTTTTTTTTGTCTTCTTTTGGACAGACTCCTGACATCCTGCCCCTCCTTCTCTGCCTGGCCCCCTCCTGTGGGTGTGCCTCCCGCGGGGACATGGACCCTGGGGAGCAAGTCACAGCTTGTCAACTGGATTATTTATGTGTGAGCTCTGCTCTGACTTAATTCTCCCCTGTTATTCCCCACCCTTGAGCAAAGCTTCGCGGAGCAGGTTGAAGTTCTCATCTCCTGGCGCGCAGGTGTGCCCTGAGGTAGCTTCTCTTTAGTGCCCCCAAATGCAGTCTTAACAGGGCTCTTGAGCCCCCATTTCTGCTGATGGAGGACACCTTAAACACGCCAGGTCAAAGCAATTCTCACCTTGGGCTGGAATTCTTGTCACTCTGAGGCCAGTGCCACCCCTGCAGGATTCTTTCTTGCCCTTTCTGTGCTGGCGTGGGCTGCAACCCTGGCAGGGAGAGGGGGAAGGGCAGGGGGAGGGTGTCCTATGTGGTCTGGCATTGAACTAGGACCCTGTGCCTATGTGCCGCCCTGTTTCCCGGCCCCACCCACTGGACTCGCTGGCCTTAGCCGAGTCGGGCTTGTTCTTTCTGCACTGGAACATGGGCCCCGCTGTCCTGGGCTGGCCTCGGCCTTGGGTCCAGAGGCCTCGCATGGTGTCTGTCACATGCCTCTGCTGGGCCCTTCTATCAGACCCGGAGCTGTGGGGCTCCAGCCTCTTGGCTGTTCTTCACTGCTCTCTCCATGGTGCTAGGTTTGCAGGCCCTGGGTCCATCTTGGGCCCGTTGCCAAGGTCCCTTTTAGCCACGACCACTTTTCCTGTGCAGTTCCACGCTCAATGTGGCTGTGGTGGAGCAGGGCCCCAGCCCCTCTCCTCCCCTCGCCCTCCCTGTTCCCCCCACCTCCGCCATCACCTTCTCCTGGGTTTCTGTGCCTCTCCTGTCCCCATACCATGAGCGCCCAGGCCTGTCCCTGGCCTCCAGTCAGCGTGGAGACCCTTCCGCTGACAGCCAATCTGTCAAACTGGTGGAACCTTTATCCCCCCTCCCCGCCATGGCAGGAAAACTGCTCTCATTCCCGTCCGTTCTCAATATTGTGGTGTTGAACCAACCTTCATCTAAAAAGCCAAGTTTTCAGAATTCCCCAACACCCCTCTCAGGCACCCGGTGCTCGCCTTTGGAAGTCAGGGCTGTCAGGAGCAGTCAGCCTGCTGGAGACTCCGGGAAGTCTTCGCGGGACTGTGGAAGCTTTTTTGTTCTTACTAGAGTAACGTTTATTGAGTGTTTCCCACGGGTCTTGTGCTTTGCATGGGTTATGGGGTTTAATCCTCACAACGGCCCGTTCTGATTTCCATTTTGCATACGCGGGAACTTGCTGGATCATTTGCCTCTGGTGCCCTGGCTCTCTTCCCCGCGGCCTGGTCTCCACTTCCAGCTGTGGCTGTGGCGGACAGTTCCTCGAGGGCTTCGAGCAGCTCACCCTGACAGCATCTCACCCAAAGCACCAGCCACGCATCTGTGCCTTTCGCTTTCTGCCCGGGGCTTCTCTGCTGCTGCAGACACTGGGGGAGCCTGTTTGTCAGGCAAGCAAGCTCATCCTGGAAGGAGACACGCTCGCTCATATGTCTGGCAGTTGAAGCTGGCTGTCAGCTGAGCCCTTAGCGGGGGCTGTTGGCCAAACACCTACACGGGACTTCTCCTGGTGGCTTGGGTTGCCTCACAGCATGGCAGCTGTGCTCCAATGTGTGCATCCTGAGAGAGAAAGAGGGAGAGAGTGCCCATACAGGGCGGGGAGGGGGAGGAGGCAGCAGATGGGGTTGTTTGTATTTCACGAAGGTCATGGCACATCACCTCCACCATATTCTGTTGGTTGGAACAATCACCAAACCACCCAGGTTCAAGGGCAGAGGAGGAAGACATTCCACCTCTTGATGGCAGTGGCAAGATTCCGGAAGAGCAGATGGGACTAGAAATAATGCTGTGGCTGTATCTGAAAAACACCACCTATCATTACAGAAGTGTCTAGGGAAAGAGTGGAAGAGACATCGCAAAACATGTCCAAAACTCAAATTCGAGGGACCCAGCCCAGGGAACACCCAGGGCTCCCTTTAGGGGGCTGCCTTGGTCTGAGAGATGTCAAGAAGGTGCCCCCCTGCTCCTGCCCAGGGTTACCACACCAGAGACACCCTTTCTGGGCTTAGTCTTTGCTGTCATTCAGGGAAGACTGAGCCAGTAGAGCTGCCTTCGCAGATGTTCTGGAAGGCTTTTTCAAAGAACTATCATGCCTGCAAGTCGTCTCTCGGTGGAGACCACAGCAGATGGTTCCAACCCAGTGGGGTGAATCTTCTGGCAGAGGATTGCACAGGCTTCTGGGAGCATGCGGGTAGGGCCCCTTCTCCACTGGGGCTTGCTATGTAGGTCTAGGCTGGGCATTGGCTAGGGGAGTGACATTGGAGTTGGGTGGTGACAAGTAGGACATGTCCTGCCTCTACGAGAGGACAGTGTGTGCAAAGGCAGGGCGGGGGGAGAATGTGACCAGGTGAGCAGAGCACGGGTAGAAGTGGTGAGGGCGGAGGAGGGCGGGTGGGGAGGCACCGCATCCCTCTGGCCTGCCAAGGCCTCGGGGCCCATGGATGGCCCGATGTTCTCTGTCCTCCACCTAGGGAGTCAGAACATTTCTGGTTTCCTTGGGGAAGGTGCTAAGACTGTGGGCTGAAGGGTGCATGGGAAGAGGCAGAGGAGGTGGGGGGCGAGAAGAGGAAGGGGCCAGAGAAAGAGGAGGAAAACAGGAAGCACACGAGGCAGGGAGGGGAGGGAAGAGAAAGAGGAAAAGGGGGAGAAAGAGAGGGAGGGAGGGTAGGAAAGCAGGTGGGGGAGGGGAGAGAGCAGCCTCCCAAGACAAAGGACTTTTTTATGACACGGCCTAGAGCCAGCACGTGCACCTTAGTCACGTCCAAGAGCCTTTGTTTCGGGCCTTCTTTTTTTTTTTCTTTCTTTTTTTCAAGATTTATTTATTTATACAAGCACTGGGTACAGTCAGAAGCACGGGAGGGTGAGAGAATTCACCAGAGCCAGAGCGGGGAGCAGAGCAGGCAGAAGGACCGAAGTACACTGCTGAGGGGAGCAGCGGGCGGCAGGAGAGGTCTGTGGCCATGTGGGACTCTCGCTAGCGGCCGGGGATCGAACCGGCGCTCAGAGGCTGTGGGCAGCTTCGCAGCCCAGCGCTCAACCGCTGCGCCACCAGGGGAGGTGTTTCGGGTATTCTTTAGCCTGCTTATGCCCTGGACTTACCCTTCACTGATTCCATTTGCGCTCGGCTTGCTTAGGTTCCCTTCGCGTGCTTTCTCATTTTTAGCAGGTAGACATCAGGACACGGCCTAACAAGTACAGGTGAACTCACACGACACTAGATCTGAAGTCCCGCTCGTCTCTGCCCCACAGCCCTCGACTGCCCTCAGCCCGCCTATTCGCCCTCAGCCAGTGTTGGTCTGAGAGCTGGTCTGTTGTGCCAGGAACAGGACATGGCAGTTCTTGCTCTCTGTGTTACTTAGGATCAGGTTGGGTGGAGAGTAACTGGGAAAACCCCACATGCCAGCAGCATGTCCATGACAGAACTGGCTTTCTCTCTCATTTTACAAAGTTCAGCTCTGGGATTGCATGAGTCAGAGACCCAGGCACTTGACCTTGATGCTCTGCCAGTGTGGCTTCTCTGGTGTTTTAAAACCCTGTCCGAACATTCTTCACCCATCCTTCTAAGCAGGTAGCGTCTAAGTCCCCTCTCCTTGGATATGGGCCGGGCTGTCTTCTAATGAAATGAATGAGGCAGAGCTGTCACGTGACTTCTGAGGCTGGGTCACACAGGGCAATATTGTTTCCACCTGGTTCTCTCTCTCTTCCCAGGTCTTCGGAGCCTTGGGCTGCAGGTAAGAAGCTTGGCTACCCTGAAACCACCATGTGTCAGAGTGAGGCCCAAGGTATCTCCGGTATTGTGCGATACCACATGTTGATGCCCTCCCAGCCCAGGTACCAGCCATGTGAGTAAGGAAACCTTCGGATGATTCCAGCCCCAGCCACCATCTGACCACACACACGAACAAGAGCAAGAACTGGAAAGCTGAGTCCAGTTAACCCCAAGGACCACGAGAAAAAATGACTTAGATCATGTTGTTTTGAACCACTAAGTTATGGGGTGATTTGTTATGCAGCAGTAGATAGCTGATTAAGTGCCGAATCCAAAGTCACTTCGTGATCCCAGATGGCTTCTGGAGCTTGACGTTCACTTCCCTCAGGACAGCAGCACCGAGGAATGAAATGCCCCTGGCCTCTATAGAAAAGCCCAGCCACACAGATGGTCACAAGCTTTTGCTTATGACAAATGTCTGACTCTTCTGTTCCAGGGGCCACATATTTCTGCCCCTACTGGATGTGCCAACTCCACCATTCCACCTGGCGACAGCCTTTCTGAGGGCAGAGGGCTCTTTGGAGCAGGTCCTCCGAGGCCTGGGTTACACTGACATCCTGCTGCCTGGCTGGCAGCTGCTCGCCATCTCTGCCCCAACTTCTTGCTCAGAGCCGAGGTTCCTCATCACGTGCGGTTGACACGGAGCCGCTCAGCTTCCTGCCTCCCTGCCTCTCTGGCCTCCTGGCTTGCAACCAAGTCTTCCTGTTTGGGGGGCTGAGGGCGCTGTGGCTTTGCACTGGCTTTCTCTGGCCCCTCCTTCTCCCCCAGGGCAGTGGGGGAGGGCAGGGCAGGAGGCACAGTGGCCTCTTTCCCTTCTGCGCAGTAGGAACTGCTCCAGACTGGAGACCGAGTCTGTCACCCCGGCACTGCCACTAAGATTGGTGAGTCTTCTTTCCCCTGGTCCCAGTTTTCTTATCTACAAAATCTTCACAGGTTGAGACTCTCTGATTCTTCTGTATTCAGTGAATATGACTGTTATCATGGGCTCAATTGTTTGGAGGATCTAAAAGAAATTGTATCACTTAGTGATTTTTTTCCAATGTAAATCTACCCCATACCAGTGTTAGCAAAAGGCGGATTTATTGGTTTATGTTATTCAATGGTTCAGGGGTAACCTACTTCAGGTAAGGATTGATCCAGGACCTAATACGGCAACAGCACCTCTTCCTTGCTCTGCTTCCTCTGGATGGGCCATGTGGCTGCACACAGTGAATGTTTCCTGCCCTTCCCCCACCCCACCCAAATCCCTGGAACTTTTGGCACCCTGTTCCCCTCCTACCTCAGTTCCAGCTGTTGTACTCTAAACCTTGCGTACTCTCACAACCAACCCAACCCAGAAGAGAGACTGTGTCCCAGCCCAAGCATTGATATTCACTCTGATTGGGCCAAGTTGGTCATGTATGTTCACAGATTAAGCCAATCTGACTGATCCCTGAAATGGGTGTCCTCATGAGAAGAGGAAATTAGGACACAGATGCTCACAGAGGGAAGATGATGTGAAGAGACCGGGAGAAGATGGCTGTCTACAAGCCAAGGAGAGAGGCCTCAGAAACAAACCCTGCTGAGTGTTGAATCTTGGACTTCCAGTCTCCAGAACTGTGGGACAATAAAACTCTATTGTTTAAGTCACCCAGTCGGTGGGGTTTTGTTCTAGAAGCCTCAGCAAATGAAGACAACTAGCTTAAAAAACTACCATGAGCTCAGTCTCTCTCTCTTCTAACCCCTTCCTGGAAGCCAGGAGACAGACTGAACTCAGTTGGGTGCCACGGTAGATCCTCTCTCCCACCCCGTTTACCTTATGCCTATGCCCTGGCTGCAGGGGCTTCACCAGCCAAGGCCTCCTACAATGCTGCCATGTCATTTTCACCCACAACTGCCTTTTGGTCACTTGCCCTGAGCTGTCTCTAAGAGTTAAACCCTCACCCTCTTTTCACACTGTATACTTTTGTGCAAGATGTAGCCGGATTCAGCTGTTTTTGAAATAGGAGATGGAATTTTCCCCGATGTAAACATAATGGTGCCCAATTCTTGTGGGAGTGGACGGGGCTGGCACCGGCACTGCCGGCCTTTCTTTCCCTCAGAAATAGCCCCACAATGGCCTCGTTTTCTAAAACTTGCAACTCAGCGAGTACTTAGCCTTTAGCAAGAAGAATCCACTTCGCTGAAGTCGAAAAGAGAGACATCCATTTGTCAATCTGGGCAGCCACTCAAGTAGTGGGGATTGAGGAGTTCCCTAAACGTGAGTCAGCCAGCCTCCAGGTTAAGGCATCGAGCCTCCAACAGACTCATGGCAGAAGCCGGAGATGTACACATAGGTTTTGGTTTCCCGCACACCTGATGAGCATGTAGAGGAGCAAAGTGAGATGCAGAGCTGGGGAGGATAGATGGTTTCCTCAAACACTGGACGGGGAGGCTGGACCCTCAGGGGAAGGGCAGGGGAGAAGCCCTGGGAAGTCCGGGCTAGACTGGGGGGAACATAAATATTTTTCTCCCTGGACACGGACAAGGTCACCCAAAGACACTGGTCTGAGCAGGTCTTTAATATATTTGGGCCTCACATCCAAGCCGTGGCCCCTCCTCTCGCAATCTCACATAAAAAACCAACATAGGGCCTCCCTGGTGGTGCAGCGGTTGAGCACTGGGTTGCAAAGCTGCCCGCAGCCTCTAGGGCACCGGTTCAATCCCCGGCTGATCCCTGGCTGCTCCCGGCCACCGGAGGAGGGTCCCGCATGGCGCGCAGACCTCTCTTGCCGCCCGCTGCTCCCCTCAGCAGTGTACTTCGGTCCTTCTGCCTGCTCTGCTCCCCGCTCTGGCTCTGGTGAATTCTCTCACCCTCCTGCGCTTCTGACTGTACCCAGTGCTTGTATAAATAAATAAATAAATAAATAAATCTTAAAAAAAAAAAAAAACAAACAAAAACCAACATAGACTGCTCAGGCTGTCTTTTGCCCCCCTCCTGGAAGAAGCTAGAAAGATCCCTGAACACTCATTTCTAAAGGAGAGAGAAAGCTATAAAGTCAGCCTTTGGGGGCCAGGCTGGGCAGGCTGGAGGGGGGTGGGGTGGAGGAAAAAGGCAGTGAGAGTTTATGGGTGGGGCCGCAGTTCGTTGTGCTCTGTGCAATGGGAACCGGAAAGATAACCTTTCTGGAGCTTTGCGGGTTCCAATTAGAATCTTCCTTCTGTGACAAGGGTTTTCCTTCCATTGTTGTGTGATCTTCCATCTTCCCTGCTCCCCCCACCCTTGCCTCCTGGAGAGGGGCAGTATGGGTGGGGATAGTGCCAAAGGTCCAAATGTGCAAGGCCACGTCCCACCCCCTGTGATTCCTCTGGCAGGGGAGGCTACAAAGCACCTGAGAGGCATTGTTGACTTTGGGGGTCTCCTACCTTTGCAAGTGGGGTGCAGAGTCCATGCCAAACCTAATAACCATACAAGTCTTTGCTATTCCTACTTCCCAGGGTTATTGCAGCTCCCTGTCCCTCCTCCCTCCCTCCTGCCCGGCCCCCCCCCCCCCACCTCGCTGAGCTGGCTGGCTCCGTCCTGCCACTTCCCGGTTTACTCAGCAGTCTGACAGGGGAGAGCAGCTGCCTGCCGCAGGAATAAGTCTCCTGGCAAATTAGCTGCAGGATTTGAAATCCATTTTTATTCTGCCCATTATTAATTATTGTTATTTCTGCTGTTCATTACCAGCTCGTTTCCTTGATCAACTCCCGGAACAAAGGCTCTTCACAGCAGTTCCCTCCCCATGGAGGAGTCCTCAGGCTATCCCCACTGTGCACCAGCCCTAAGTACCCCCCTCCCAGGCCTTGGGGCCAGGTCTTCTCCCTGCTGGCTTCTGAGGTGGGGAAGGCCTGGCTGGGGCTCCCACCCACCCCTCCTTGGGCCCCCTTTTCTGCCTGCCACCCAGTCCTGAGTTCCCAAACAAGGAAACCTCTTCTAAGGAAGCTTCTAATTTTGTACCTTAAAAACAATGACTATTTAACCTACGTACAGTAAAGTCCACCCATCCGAAGTGTATAGGTCCACGACTTTTTATGTATGCATTCATCTGTGATCGCCTGGAGATGTGGGACGTTGCCAGCGCCACCCCCAAAGCTCCCTTATGCGCCCTCCCAGTTGATAGTCCCCCAAAGGTAACTTATTTGGACTTGCAGCGGTATAGACCTATTTTGTCTGTTTTTGAGCCTCCAGTAAATAGACCACTGCGTGTATTGCAGCGTCTGGTTCCTTTCGCTCAGCATCGCCTGGGACATCCATCCACGCTGTTGTCCTTGTGCCCATGCAGGTGGTGTCCCTGTGCATGCCACATCGTGGTCACTTTCTCTGTTCTCTTGATGGGCATTTGGGTTGTTTCCGATTTGGGACTGTTATGAATAAAACTGGCATGTGCCTTTGTGTGCCCTGCTCTTGGTAAACATATGCAGTCACTTCTCTTTGCCCTATACCTGGAAGTGAAATTGCTAGGCCATAGGGTATGCAATAAAGCCAGGCTTGACCCGTTAGAAGAGCAAATCAAAAGAAGGCGGTGCTGAGGAGAAAGGTCTGAAAGGTAAATGAAGGCGTTTCTTGTAGGCGGGGAGACATTTCGCTCGCCTTTGTGTGGTGGATGGTTACAGATATGGCCTCTGGTGAATCAAACCTCCCCGTGGCCATATCTACGACAGCCTCCTCTCACTTGGGGGACCTTGTCCCATGGAATATTCGAAAGCACGGTAAGCATGACGTGCTGCTCTCACCGCAAGGGCCCCTGGTCTAGCTTCCGTGAGTTAAAAATAGCATGTGGAGAGAATGATCCAGGGTGAGATTTGGGAGATTGCTTGTTACTTCAGGATAACCCAGCCCATGTGGAAACTGGTACCAGAAGTGGGGATCAGCCATAAGAATATTGGCCCAAATATTGGGCATTATTTACAATAATAATGTAAATATTATGCCCCCCAAAATATTGGGCATTATTTACAATAGTTAAGATAGGGAAGCAACCTAAGTGCCCACTGGTAAGGAAGATGTGGTGTATACACAATGGAACACTATTTGGCCATCAGGAAAGATGAGATTTCGCCATTTGCAGTGAAAGGGAAGGAACTCGAAGGCGTTATGCGAAGAGAAGTCAGTCAGAAAGAGCAAGACAAATATTGGATGATTTCACATCCAATATCAGGTAATATCAGGAGGCAAAGCGGAAGAACTGGCAAAGGAAAATAAAAATAAACTAGTGGGAATTGATAGCCTAACTGATGTTGCCAGCGGTGAAGAGGGTGGGGGTGGGGGTGGGGGGAAGCTTACAAAGGTATAAGGGAGAGTGGAGGGTGTTTTGTTTTTGTGTTTCTTCCAAGATAATAAATAATGGTAGGTAGCATCTCATCAGCTTGTGCCTCACAAGCAGACCTGGATACCAGGATCCTAGTACAGGCTGATAATGGGGAGTGGGGGACCCTGAAGTGCCAGTGGAAGAGCAGGAGAAGGGGCCCGGACAGGTGGCTGATCAAGTGTGCTGTCCTGCAAGGTACAGACGCTTATTCCTGCTGGGGGGGGGGGCTCTGGGACACAGGAGGAACGGGGACTTCAGTTAGTCCAACGGAGGCAGGAGGGAACTGAGGTATTTATCCACTACCCTCTGGTGAGGGGCTACTTTATTTTTTTAAAGATTTATTTATTTATGCATACAAGAACTGGGGTGTAGGCCAGAGGTGTGGGGGTGTGAGATGATTCACCGGAGAAAGAGCAGGGAACAGAACAGGTAGATGGACGGAAGACACTGCTGAGGGGAGCAGCGGGTGAGCCAGGAGAGGTCTGCTGCACCATGTGGGTAGCTCCCTGGCCAGGGATTGAACCTGTGCTGCAGTGGCTTCCCATAGCTTCATAGTGCTGTGCTTAACCCCTTGTGCCACCAGGGAGGCCCCTGGTGAAGGGCTACTTTCTGGGGATTGGTAATTGCCTGACACTCCCGGGCTTTTTTGCATTCTGGTAGAAAATGGGTTCTGGGACCAGAAAAAAAACTGAGAGTCAAGGGGGTGGAAGCTGGGAGTCCGGCAGGCACACACACTCTGCATATACTAAGGGGGTGAAGTGGGGTATTATGTAGTTAGGGGCAGACGCTGCCCAGAGCGTCTCTGTCTGCCTTCATGGATTCCGCCCAGCAACCCGATGGGGTAACGTGGTATTCCCTCCAGTGACAGGCGAGGAAACTGATGAGTAACAAGGGAAAGCAACGTACCCGTGGCTTTGCAGCTGATTGTGGAAAAGGCAGGACTGAATCTCCTGTCGAGCTCAGGGGTCTTGGGGAATTGAAAAATAAAAAGCCCTCAAACTTAAAATAAATGGTACTGACTTAGGACTGCTGGGGAGGGGGGCAGATGTCAAGGAGAATGGAAAGAACCAGATGGTAAGCAGTGGCTAACCCTTTGCTAAAACTGGGACTGAGTGTTGCTGGCGGCAGTGCCGGCCTGAGGGGCAAACGCAGGGGCCCCGGGCTGCTCCCCATCCACCCAGCTTCTGCCCGCCTCTGCTCAGTTCTCTCCTTCCTCACCGGTACCAGCACGGCTTCCCTTTCATACCACTTGCCTTTGTCTTTTCTTCCTTTCTCTCTCCCCTCTCCCCACCCATCTCACACAAACCCCCTCCAACCCCTCTCTGAAGGAAGGCAGGGAAGGGTGGGAAAGGTTCGGAGGCAGCGGTCCCAATCTAAACCTCAGGCTCCACGCACCGATTTCAGAAAAGAACCTTTAGTACAATCCCCTTTCCTGCCCGGCTGGGCTGTGGGGGCGTGGGAGGCGGGGCTTGAAGGCTCTGGGGCAACGGGGGAGTCCGCACTTGCTGCGCGTTCATAGCCCCGTGATGGTGCAAGGCCTCCTCCTGGCTCTGAGGCGCGTTGGACTAGGGGGGCCAGTTCTCCTTCCAGCTCCACCCCTGCTGACGGATGTGTTCTCTCAGGCGTCACTTCTGCTCACTGCACCTTCCTTTTTTGTTGCCGCCTCTGCGTGGGGAAGATACTACAGCCCTGCCCTCCTCGCAGGGTGCGGCGGGACTGCTGGGGCTGCTGGAGCAAGGCCCGGGAAAGCCATGGGAGTGCGCGACGCCTCGCACCAGCTCTGGCAAGGTGGTGGCCTTCGCTCCAGGGATTGCCGTCAACGCGAGTTGTTTCACTTTTGGGGGCAATGGGTTTTGAGGTTTTCAAGGCCACTTTGCTTTATGGGCTCTCTCCTTAGTCGTCTCCATCAATGGGGGTTGCTCAGGAGCGACAGCGGCTCTGGGAGCTTTCTGTCATTATTTTTGCTGTATTTGCAAACTAATGGCGCTGTGTACAGCGGCCATCATCTTTACAAGGCTCTTGGCTTGTTGGCTCAGGAACACCCACTCCATAGTTGTTATCCTTAACCCCTGGAACCCCATCATATCTGCATGTGCCGCCCAACCCCAAGATTCCTTCTTGGGGTAAACCTGGGCAGGGTTCTTAATTGACGACCCCTGGATAGGCTTGGTGAATGTGTGTGGAAGTGTGTGTGAGTGGGTGTGTGTCTTCTTCTGGGAAAAGAGGCCATAAGTTTCATCGACTCCTCAAAAGGTGAACCTCCAAACACTAAAGACCCCCAATTTTTCAGGCCTAGGCCATCTCTGTGAGATGAGGATTCTAAAACATCAGCAAGAAACCACCAGTGATGAATGTGATTCCAAGGAGAACTTCCAAAGGTATCTGGGCCTCCTTCAGAGAAATCCACGGGCATTGGCTGCATCCTTGTCGGCAGGTGGGTCAAAGTCACATCCCTGTCGAAAGGGATGTTACTTTCCTTGGTTGATCCAAGCTTCGTGCTACCTTGGCAGTGGATTTTGGTAAAAAGGTAGCTCAGGGGTCAGGTGGAAGGTGCTAGCATTTCCACGTTATATTGAAAAGTAGATGCCTCCACAGGTACTGCACAGGTACTTTCTTATTACTTCTTTTTTTTTTTTTTTAAAGATTTTATTTATTTATTTATTTGTTTGTTTATTTATACAAGCACTGGGTACAGTTAGAAGCGCGGGAGGGTGAGAGAATTCACCAGAGCCAGAGCGGGGAGCAGAGCAGGCAGAATGACGAAGTACACTGCTGAGGGGAGCAGCGGGCGGCAGGAGAGGTCTGCGCGCCATGTGGGACCCTCGCAGGTGGCCGGGGATCGAACCAGTGCTGCAGAGGCTGCGGGCAGCTTCGCAGCCCAGCACTAACCGCTGCGCCACTGGGGAGGCCCTGCACAGGTACTTTCTTTAAAAGATTATTACCCACCCCCTGCCTCCCGCTTTTAAGTTACAAACACCAAACTCACAGTAGAGGCGGACAAGCTTAGCATGCAGAGTTAAACTGGGAATTTTAACTCAGTAGACCTTGAAGAACACACAGTTCCAATGCAACCCCAAACGGTTGCTTTTCTATTTTTAAAGTGATGCAATGATGGAAATGGAGGTGTGGAATTATACAAATGATTTCTCAGTAAACGCCTTGGTGTGAATGATGTGTCAGGGGCACCCACACCCAAACCTGAGTAAAGAGGAAGGGAGCTGGGGACTGAGCTCCTCCGCTGGGCTCGGTGCCCCTTCTCGCAGCGCAGCACCCTGGAGTGTGGGGCACAGTTGCTGAGCTGCATGCAGCCTGGTTCCAGCAGGGAGATGCTGCTCTGTGACTGTGGATTACAGAGAATTTTATCTGGAGATGAACAGTGCTTTCTCCTCCAGGGGCCTTTGCTCCCCTTGGGGGGATTTGGTAATTGGGGTATATTTTTAGTTGTCATGATTGTAATACAATTGTAACACAATTGTAAGACCCTAAAGAAGGATGGAGCTGGACAGGGAGGTGAAGCTAGAAATTGTAACAGTGTGAAGCTAAGAAGAGACTGGGAGAAAGAATTGAAGGAAGTGGCTGCAAAAGAAATGGAGAGAGATGGAGGAAGAAGACCTGGAGGAGGCACGTGGAACAGAAAGACACGTGAAGAAGAAGCCTTGGGCTTGGGCTTGCACCAGGGACTTGGGGGACATGGAAGGAGACACTTGAAACAGCCGTGAGTGAGAGACCTGTGGGGAGGCGGACAGTGGCAGCCTCTATCTTCACTTGTATTTTGATTTTGCTGCTTTCATCCGAGACTTGCGTGCTCCCTTCGGTCCCTTTACTATGGGTCCCCACCAGGATGTGCCTTAGACTTGTGGCAAGTTTTCAGGCCTCAGTGGCCCTCCTTTCGGCCAACCCTGTGTGGCTGTGCGTTTACCCGCAAGGGGGTAGGTAACTTTTGGTGCTCCTGTTGCACACTAATTGTATTATTAAAGTTCCTTTCTCTTGAAGGTCTTATGCACTAGAGTATATTTTGTCTTGATGCGGCAGATGGCAGAACCCATTTACAGCAGGCAGGTTTAGGGGTCCCGTGGTGCCCCTCACCGTGCCTATAACACAATACTAGGGGGTGCTACTGGCGTTTAGTGGGCAGGGGGCCAAGGACACTTACCATTGTACAAGGAGGGGCATGACTGTCCCCTACAACAGAGATTTGTGTAGGCCCAGATACCTATAACGCTTTTATTGACAAAGTGTTTCACTGCAAAGAACATTCCAGGTATTCTTTCTAAAAGAACCTGTTGGTTTATTAGAGACTAAGGGTCATTTTTCAAGGTGGCCCAAGGGATTGGGGCAGGGACTAGGCTGAGGAGAGAGCTAGTGACTTATCACAAGGCTGCAATGGCGGGGGGGGGCGGGGGGGGGGTGGGCGAGGGGGAGGAGATGCCTGTGGCTCCGGCTCTGGTGGTCATGCCAGGAAGGGAAACCCTTCAACCACTGCCGGTGGAGAGTGAGAAAGAAGAGGAGAGGGCAAAAATGAGCTTGTAAGTCACTGTGAGGTTGGGTCCTCCAAAGTGAGAAAGCTGGAAAGTCCAAGAAGCGTGGGTGCCCCAGACAGAGGGTTTAGGGTGGGGCAGAGCTAAGGGGTTGCCCCAGAGAAAAAGGCAGCGGGGCCCTTGTGGACAGAAAGAGTCACTGCTTCTGACTTTATCTTGCTCTGCCCTACACCCCTCTCCCCTCCCCCTCTAGCCCGAGTTCTCCAACTCCTAAGAAGAAGGACTTGACCTCTGCTGGTAGCCCGAGGGCCCTTAGAGCAGCTAGGAGGACTTGCCCCAGCTGGAACCAGTCTGGCATGGCCCCCTGGTCTTTTGCAGGTTGTGGACACCCTAGGAACCAGGTGCCCCAGAGTTGCCATGTCCACACACACGCAAAAGGAGGTGCACGAGGGACTTCAGGAAGTATCTTCTCTGCAACCAACCAGCACCGCTGTTGCTTGCCTGTCCTGTCCTGTGCCCCACCGCTCTGAGGCTGGGCGGGGCCAAGGGACTTTCAAAGCAGGTATTGAGGTGTGCTCTTAGCCAATGTTCTGCTCCTCTATGGTTTGCAAGGCAAAGGGGAGAGAAGACAGTGGTAGGGAACAGAAATCAAATACCACAGTGGGAGGGGAACTACTTCCCCCAGGGCTGGGGAAGGGCCTGGGGCCCAGCTGCTGATATTTTTACAAAACAAATAAGTGTGGGGCAGAGCAGTGACCTCAGTGTGATGGAAAAAGATGGTCAGTGGAGCATCTGCCAGAAATGACATGTTTCTCGGCCCACCTGTTAGGAAGCGGAAAGGGAGGTGTTGACTAATAACATCACAGCAAGCAGTTATTGAGCTTTTGATGCACGCCTGGCACAGATCTGGGCACTTGATGTGAGTTACGCGTTTCATCCCAGCTCCCATCCCATAGAGGGGCCGAGTATGGTTCCCTGTAGGGAGATGAGGAAACTGAGGCAGAAGGGTCGAATTTTGCATCCAAGGCCATATAGCTAAGAAGTGGCGGGAAAGGGATTTGAATCCTGTCATTCTGGCCCCAGGTCTGCTGCTAGGAGGCTGTAAACAGGCCCCATAAGGGGGCACTTTTGTGCACGTGTGTGTGTGTGTATGTGTGTTGGGCCCAGGCTGTGGTTATTTATTGGCACAATGAACCACTCCAAACTTAGTGACTTAAAAAAACAACCACAAAGGCAGCTATGATTTTCGTATTCTCTCTTGCTGTTCTGGGGGTTGACCACCCTGAGTTAGGCTGTTTCCTCTCTCTCTGTGTGTGTCTCTCTCTCTGTCTCATGCCGTTGTCATCAGACAATGCCTGAGCTGAGGCTTATCGAGGGCTTCCTTTCTCATTCCCATGGGTGGCCACGGAGCCTGGCTGTTAGCGGGGACCCCAGCTGGGCATGGATTGGAACACCTCCATGAGGCTTCCCAGTGGGGCCTGCGCGTCCACACAACACGGCGGCTTTCTAAAAGCAAGTGTCGTCCGAGAGAAAGCCTTGGGAGTCCTATAGTGACACTTCTACCATTGTCACCAACCCCCCAGAAGCAAGGGGGCTGTGCACTCAGCACTGGAGGGGAAGAGTGACATAGACTGTGAAGAAGGGCACGTGGGAAGAAAATCTTGTTATGGCCATCTTGGAAAATGCAATCTGACATAGCGCTTTCTCTTTTCTTTCTTTCTTTTTTTTTTTTTTTAATTTGAAAGCGTCTCTGAATTAAGCTCAGATTCATTCTAGTCACTTTCATTGGTGACAAGATACAAAATGAGTAGGGACCCAGAATCTTGCCTAATAGCCTCTCTTCTGCTCCCATTATGGTTTGCTGCTAAGAGCCGGTCCAACTGGAGTTGAAGATACAAAATCCCCCGTCTTAGGGAAGACAGAAACTATCAAACATGAGGACACACTCCCAAATGCCCTGTCCCAAAGAATTGTTGCCTTCGGTGTCAATACATGTAACGTGGCCCCAAGCATAGACAAGGAGTCGGAGGGGTCCGCTCTGAACTCTCTAAACACCCACCCCACCCTTCTGCAGGCGTGGCCTCATCTTTCTCTGTTCTTTGTTACTGTGGACTGACTTGTGTCCCTCCCAAACCCATATGTCGAAGTCCCAACTCCCAGTCCCACAAAATGTGACTGTACTTGGAGACAAGGCCTTTAAAAAGGTGAGTCAATTAAAATGTGGCCATTGAAGTGGGTCCTAATCCAATCTGACTAGCGTCCTTATAAGAGCAGGAACTTTGGACATGTAGAAGACCCCAGGGATAATCCTGCACAGGAGAAACGCCTGGTGAGGACACCGTCAGAGGCAGCCGTCCGCCAGCCCAGGAGAGAGGCCTCAGGAGAAACCAAGCCTGATCTTGGGCTTCTAGCTTCTGCAACTGTGAAATAATCCATCGCTGTTGTTAAGGCCGCCCAGTCTTAAATGTCCTATGGCGATTTGTTATGACAGCCTGAGCAAACACACATTTAAGAAAGGCCTCTTCCAGGGAGGTTACCAGGGCTGGCACAGGGTCCTAGAACTCTCCCTAAATGTAATTGCCTGAGAGTGGTGGGAGTTCTGCAGTAGGGGCTGCCCCTCTTCCCCAGCCTGCCTGGATAGCACATGAAGCTGCTTTGACTGGATTAACTGGTGGCACCTAGAGACCCTGGACTAGCCAGTGAGGGTCTGCTCAGGACATGCGGGAGGCTGGCGCAGTGTCAATCAGTAGGGGGTGGGAAGAGGCCCAGGCAGCAGGGCAGCCCCTTGCCTGGCCCCAGAGGAGATGTGGTCTTTTGGTGCTATCAGGCCTGGCCAGACTGGTGAACCCCATTCCTCTTGCACCAACATAGATCTCCCAGGCCTGACCCCTGGTGGTATGCAGTTCAACCCCAAATCTGTCAATGCTGGAGATACCCAGCCAGCAGAAAAGCACCC